CGCCCCCCTCCCCCCGGAGAGAGGGCTCGGGGGGAGGAGGGGGAGGAGGGGGGGGGGGGGCGGCCGGCGCAAACTTATGAGAAACGCTCTCGGCTTCTCCCCCCCTACGGGAGAGGCCTCGTCGATTTTGGTTGTTTCAAAGTAATAGCAAATCGTCAATCGAGTATGTCTTTTCTTTTCTCCTCCCCCCTCTCTCCCTCCCTTCGCTCCCTCCCTTCGCTCCCTCCCCCCCCCCCGACGCTGGTGCCCTCGTGGCCCCTCTTCTCGCCAGCCGCCCCAGCGCGCGTACACCTGTACTCGTTGCCTTTCTGTTCTCCCTCCATCCCGAGCTCAATTGCGCGCGCGCGCGCGAGTTCTGAGTCTCGCAAGCACCCTCCCCCCTCCCAAAGCGCCCTTCGCCCCTGCGCCTGTGTGCCGCCCTGCGGGGCATCTCCATGCGCCTGTTCCCTCCCCTTTCCCTCCTGCTGGTCTCCGCGAGCGCGGCGCCCACGCGCCCCCCTCGGATTCTTCCCCTTGCTCCCTTCCCGAGCGCCCCCGATGTGCTGCCTGTACCTTCTGCCGCCGTTGTCTTCGTCTTGAGAGGGATGTCTTCTCGCCACATGGGGTTTCTTCTCCGTGTGTCTCTTCAGCGCCCTGGGCCGGGGCGGGGCGCATGCTTGCCGTGGTTCGCCCTCCCTACCGGGGCCAACTGCGCTGGATGCTCGTCCGCGGGTGCCCTCGCTCGACAATGCGCGCTTGCATCCTCCTCTTCCCCGTGTGAGCTTACGCCCCCTATGGGCATCCCATTCAAGACGACAGCACCGGCGGCCGGAGGGCAGGCCCGCCCTCGTTCGGGTTCCCTGGGCTCGCGCGTCCCCCCCCCCGGCCGCAAGGACCAAGGGGAGACAGCATCGCCCCCTTCTCCGAGGCAGGGTGGTCCCCCGGGGACGCGCGAGCCAGCGGGGTCCACCGACGCACCCCCATCCAATGTCTCGCCCGTCGCGGGCTCCTCTCCTCCTCGGGGCGCCCCCCATTGCCCTGTGTCACCCTCTCGCCAGCGCCGCTAACTCCCCCTCCTCCTCCTCCCCCGTACCTCCGCCCCCCCAGAATCAAAATGGCTCACGATACTCTCTACAACTCCCGCCCCCGCAGCTACGGTAAGGGCTCCCGTGAGTGGTGCGTGTCCCTTCCCCTCTTCCATTCTCCCTCTTTCCTGCTTTAATGCAGCGGCGGGGCGCGCCCTTCACCTCGGCTCCTCCCTCCTCCTCGGGGCCTGGTTTGCTTCTCCCGCCCATTGCACCTCGTCCTCCCCCGCTCACTGCTGTGTTGTCTTCTCCTCCTTCAGCCGCTCCTGCTCCAGCCGCGGCGGTCTCATCCGCAAGTACGGCCTGAACCTTTGCCGTCAGTGCTTCCGCGAGTTCGCCACCGACATCGGCTTCCACAAGGTGCGCCCGCTTTCCCTTCCTCTTCCTCCTCTCGGAGGAGCGATTCGCGCCCCCTGTCCCCCGCCTTTCCCCCTCTCGGGGGGGGGCGTGTCGGGGCCGTGGCCTCTTTTTTGCGCTTCTCCTTTCCACCTTGATCGCCGGGGCTCTCTCCTCTCTCTCTGCGTCCCTTCCGCGCCCCTTCTTCTGACCCCCTCTCTCTCGTCTCTCTTTCCTCTCCCCCGCAGTTCCGCTAATGGTTTCCTGTGAGCCGGAGGTGTAACCGGGCCCCCCTCTTTCTTTCTCTCTCTCTCCCCTGCCGGAGAAAGAGGAGGGGGCTTTCTATAGGGGGGACAACCGCTCTGCCTCCCCCCCTCTCCCCTCTCGGGCTGGACTGTGCGTCTCTCCCCTTCTCCCTCCAATATACACAAGTAGCACCCCCTCTCTTCCCCCTGTGTGGTGGTGCGCGCGCGCGCGCGCTCGTGGGGGCATCTGCGCAGCGTCGTGGACGCGCGCCCTCTGGCGCGCCATGTTGGCTTCCTCCTCCTCCCCCTTCTCTCTGTCCCTCCGCGCGTGCATGTGTAAAATAAGCACCTGCGTGTGTCTGTGTGTGCATCTGTCTCTCTATGCGCCTCGCGGGGGTATATTCAACGGTCGGGGGGAGAGGAGAGGCGGGGGGGGGGGGGGGGGGGGGGCGGGGACGCGGTCGAGGACCGGGCGGGGGGATCGCGCGGCGTTTCGCCGCTTCCCGGCTTTCTCCCGCCCCTGCCCTCGCCCCTTTCTTCCCCCTCCCCCCCTCTCTCCTCCCAGGCCGGTGGTGTGTCTCGCCATGCGTTCTCTCCCTCCACGCGAGGGGGCTGTCATGTGCGCGCATCCTGCGCTTGTGGACACCTTCTCGGGCGCCGGCACACGCGGGGGCACTCTGCGCTGCTGGGTGTGCCCGCGCACTCGGGCTGGGAGATGCCCTGCGCTGTGCAGCTGGCCCTCTGCCGCACGCCCGCCTGCCTTCTTGTCCTGTGTGCAATATACAGCCGCATCCCCCTCCCCTCCCTCGCTTCTTTCCTTTTTTCCGCGAGGCGCTGCTGCGTCTTCCAAAGGGGCAGCGGGCGGCCGAGGATACCCGGCGCGCATAACATGTCCTCCAACTCCGACCGCGACCCAGCAGAGAGCCTCCGCACTGCCGCGCATGTGGCCGGCGCAGGCAGCCCCTGACGCCCTTTGGCCGGGAGTGCCGGAGGCGGAGGCGACAGGGGAAAAGATCGGCCGCATGGCCGCGCATCGTCCGGCACACGGGATGCTGGTGGGGCGTCGCCGCTGTGTCCGCTTCCCCCCCCCCCCGGCCCGGCCCGGAAAAGTACCTTCCAGCCGAGTGGGAATGACATGGCCGGCGGAGGGGGAGACGCGCGCACCGCGCCACACACCCACACGCCTCCGCGCTGTGGTCCCTCATTGTGGGATACCCGGCGTCCGGTCGAAGGGAGGCGGCTCTTCCTGAGGCCGTTTCCGGGGACGCCGCGATAGGCCAAGCTGCCGGACACACGCACGCAGGGGACAGGGGTCGGCACAGCCAGGCGAGGCCCCGTCGAGGTCGCGTGGCGGGCGGGCTGCCCCTAGCAGAGGCTGGCCGGGGAGCATCCGGGCGGCGCGCGGCCCACATCCGCAATGGCGTTCCGTTCCGAGCAGCATGCTGCCGCCTCGCATTCTGGGCGCTCCCGAAGTCCTGTGTTGGGGTTCTTTTTCCAGAACGCCTGAGTCACATCCCGAAAGACTCGCGCACGCCCAGGAGGGGGCTCCCCCTCGCCTGGGCGGTTGCCGCACGCACGTATGCAGTCGCATTCACCCTGTCCCCGGTCCCGGGGCCGGCGGCCCATAGGGGAGCACCCCCCCCCCCCCCCCCCCCACACGCAGGGGGAGCGTTCTAGAGTCGACTGTGGGCGGCGGCGCCGCCCCCCCCCGGATCCGGCTGGCTCGCGTTGGCCGGGGGCGTCCGGGGGCTGGGGCTAGGCAGGTGCCGGGCCAAGTGCGCGGGGCGGCGGGGCGGCGTCAGGCGCCGGGAGGCAGGACCCGGGGGCTGCCGGGGCCACGGCGGGCATACGTGTGCCGCCCGATGCGGGCCGTTTTTTCTGACATGACCGAATACTGCGCGCAGCCCCCCCCCCCCCCCCCCCCCCCCCCCCC